AGGCGCATTTTGGCTGGCTGCGGCTCGGCCTACACCTCTTTTCTTTACCTAATGGACGGCATGAACTTGTCTACTTATAACTAGCTCTAAGGTGGCTGTAACATGGTTTTAACTAGGTTAAGTAGAAAATAAGTAGATATAAGTTGTGAAAGTAGATGGATACACTTATCTTACTTAATTGCTACTTACAGCTACTTGAAGTAGTTTATCTACTTGGCAAAAAAAGTAAAATTAAGTAGGCGTGGTTCGTTTATGCATAAGTAGCATAAGTATACTTAATTCTACTTAGGTCTACTTATTTCTACTTAACCTACTTGTTTTTTTTTGATTGTTGTTGTTGACTTCTATGTTTCAACATGTGATTTTGTACTTTTTGCTTTTTAAAAAGGTTTGCAAAAGGTCAAGTTTTCGCAGCGCAGCCCGTTGGCATAGGGGTTCGTTGAAATTTGGGCAAGTTTATCTGACCACATGGTTGGCTAACAGGTTAGGAATGACATGCCACAGCTTGAATTTCTCATTGGAGACATGACTTGCAGCACGAGCGGTGTGTCCGCTTGTTGCCAGGAAGAACCTTAGTGCGGGGTGCGTTGTGACACAACATGTTGTTTTGATTCCAAACAAAGAGAAACAGAAACACAAGATGGACGGAGAGTGTGTACAGAGTTTCCAAACAAGATGGACACGACCGCAGTTTTACCGAGTCTGAGTTTTCCCGATATCTATATAGGTATCTATCAGGTATCTATGAGGTATCTATCAGGTATTTATAGTTATCTTTACAAAACTACGTCAGGGTATCTATAGGTATCTATAGGTATCTGAAGATATCCATACAAAACTATGCCAGGGTATCTATAGGTATCTATAGGTATCTTTAGATAACTATAGGTTTTGTACATGGTATCTATAGGTATCTATCAGATATCTATAGTATTTTCATCAGACTTTGGTCTCCATGATTAACTGATGTGGTGCCAGTTTTTGTTCGCCATTTGATCGGTGTTCGAGGAAAACTCTGGAAATGAAGCCCCTTTTGGTTTGGACTCTATAGGCCTGCCTTTTTGTTGAGCTCATGGCTGATGCAGTCGAAACTGTTCCTGCGACCAGCCGGATGAGAACCCAAAGGGCTGCTTGAAATGTGGCCTGGCTGCTTGTTTGTGAAAACACAAAAATATTGATTTCTTTAGACAAAATCATTTTTTCCAACAACAACAGCTTTATAAAATCATGCGTCACTAGATAGTATGTCCAAAATCAGCATTTTCGACTTTGTTGTGACTTGCCTTTTCTTAAACCATTAGTTTTGCGGCTGTGCACTGGTCTTTGGCAAACTCCGCGGCTTGGGGACAAAACCTAAGGGTATCACCCGTCGCCAACAAGCCGACAAGCCAAACATGGAATGGAGACTGCAGATGATGGCCCTAGCCGCATCAAAATGAAACGGGATGGAGACATGCGACGGGATCCCTAAGGCCGTTGTCTTGCGCTCTGGCGGCATGGTTGCCATCTGGAGTAGATGGTCGGCAGAGACAGTATTGCCTACTTCAGCTAAGACTCAGGACCTCACTGAGGCCCTATTCCATGAGGAGCCGCCGCCTTGTGCTGCTGCTGAGGCTGATGAAGAAGCAGTTCCCACCTGCACCGGTGCGCTGAGCTTGGTGCTGCAGACGGTCCTGGATGACAGTGCCGCTAGAGGCCTGTAGCCGCTGCCTTTGCTGTTGGCAGCCCTGAGCTCCGCTACCAATAGATAGCCCGCCGGCAAGGAGGCGAAAGCTAACCGGTCTGGCAGCCATGACCTGAAGGCTCGGCGGGCGTCCTCAGCGACCCCCGTTTCCTGTTGCGTGGGGAGTGGGGCAAAGCTACTTGGAAATGGAATGAGCGCAACGTCCCACGACCGTGGGCTGCTTTGGCGGACTGCTTTGTCACGATGTGCTTCCTGGTTGTTTCTGTCCGCTTTGCGTTTTGCTTGTGGGACAAACTCGAGTAGGATGGCCAAGACTGCATACACCCCTGCATTGTCTTGCAGGACCATCCGATAGACTCGCCCTACTTGACACCCCATGTGGACTTCGTCAAATGACCTCTGGACTGATTGATCAAAGGCCATGTGCTGCAGGGTAGGGGGCAGAAGGCCGCTACATGGGACCACGCGGAGCAATGGGAGTAACTTGCATTTGGGTGTCGTGCTGCGTAACAGTAGGGCTGGACCACAAGCGTTGCGAGGCCTTAACACTGTCTGCGAAGGATAGCTGTGGAAGAAAGAGGGCCAAGATGAGCAAACCTCTTCCACTTACTTATTTCTACTTAATTCTGCTTATTTCTACTTATAAGTAGAAATAAGTGACTTAAATATATTTATTTTAAATATTAAAATAGATAGTTTTTAAGTAGATTTTAAGTAGGTTAAGTAAAAACAAGTTACTTCAAGTAAATAAGTTCATACCGTCCATTAGGATATAGGGTCCCGAAGGCGACGTGCCAGGCAACGTCAGGCACTTTGGCTGGCTGCGGCTCGCCTCTTTTTGGTGCGGCAAAACGACACCAGCCCTCAAACGCTCCCCAAGCCTTTAGCCGGCGCACGTGCTGTAAGGTCCCGAAGGCGGCTGCGGCTCGGCCTTTACACCTCTTTTCTTTAGGATCGGAGCCGGCTGCGGGAACAAGGCTCCGAGAAACTCGCTCCCTGCAGACAGCGAACGCGAGACTTTCCCGGTAACGAGTGAGGATGTGCGTGCGGCGCATGTGCGAACAAGTACCCCTCGAACGATTCGTGTTGGGATTCTCTCCTGCATACCCCATTTACCTCCTCTTGTCCTCCGTCTCTTGTCCTTCTTTCGTCCTCGTCTTGCTGCGTTGGCGTTATCCCCCTGTCCTCTGCTGCTGCTGTCGCGCTGTTTACGTTGCTTCCTGGGTTATCAACGCTAAGGGCGGCTAGAGCTGCCAGTCCGCCGGGACTTCGGTACGCGGAGCTCTCCAACAATGCACAGGGATCAAGTTCCCTGCCCCCCCACCATGGGGAATTCGATAGTCAATCCCACCGAACCATTGTTGAATCCCTACGTCCCGGCTTTCCAACAACACGTACCACCCTTACCGTCGTTTCATCTGACCCCTCGTCACTGATGCAACGATCCTCCTCTTCTCCTCCTTTGTCATCCTCTTCTCCTTCTATGGTCCTCCTCTTCTCCTCCGCTTCTACTTCTCTGGTCCTCCTCTTGTCCGTCTCTGGTCCTCCCCTTCTCCGGATTCTCTCCTGCATACCCCATTTACCTCCTCTTGTCCTCCTTCTTTTGTCCTTCTTTCGCCCTCGTCTTGCTGCGTTGGCGTTATCCCCCTGTCCCCTGCTGCTCAGTCCGTTATCCTGCTGCTGTCGCGCTGTTTACGTTGCTTCCTGGGTTATCAACGCTAAGGGCGGCTAGAGCTGCCAGTCCGCCGGGACTTCGGTACGCGGAGCTCTCCAACAATGCACAGGGATCAAGCTCCCTGCCCCCCC